AAAATCTATTTTTAAAATTTAAATTGTCAAAAAATATATTAAAAAATTAATTTGTGACTTAAATCTCTGGTTTGGAATGAGATATTAAAGAAGATGGTGCTACAACAAGGTTTCAAACAAGGTGATCAGAAAGGTTAGTTCAACAGCACAGGGTGACTGAACAACTGCTAGAAGGGTAGCTCGAAAGGAACTATGGACTTCAAGCCAAGACTGCTGGGCAAAAGAAACCGAAAGCTCGTAGGGTACACAGATGCAGATTGGGCAAAAGGACCATAAGTCCACCAGTGCACTATACTATTTATGTACAGTGACTGGTCTGTTTCATGGGCTAATCACAATGAAGAAATTGTTGCTTATTTTCCCTCACAGAGTCAGAGTTCAATGCCACAGTAGAAGCATGCACAGAACTGCAATGACTGAAGCCGCTGAAGGACTTTGGAATAGATGAAGAGATGCAATACAGATAAAGAAAGGCAATCAGAGCTTCATCAAACTGTCAGAGAATGAGAAGATAAATGCATGCACCGAACAAACTGGCATGAAGTACTACCTGGTTTGTGATCTGACCAAGAAGGGAACCATCCCGATGATCTGTTGTCCCACTATGAAGATCATAGCAAATATCCTAACAAGGCCTCTACCAAGAGATTGTTTCAAGAACTTGCAATGCAAGATGAGATTTAAGGGCTCAAGCATGCAAGCTTGAGAACGGGTGTTAACATAATAACAATACTGCATGCACTAACATTGGGTATCAGTGGGAGGGGGGTTTCACAATCTAAGGTGATTGTCCTCTACCATTAACGTATTACTAAAGTTCTAATTCCCACCTCTGGCATGCGTCTGTTTTTACCTTGTTTTCATTGTTTCCCCCTCCCCTGATGCAGCTCCATAAAGAATTTATTGTTTGGGTTGTAACTATTGATCACCATCTTTTTTCTACTTTATAAGGTAAAGGTTCCCCTTAACAATTTGTCCAGTCGTGTCCAACTCTGGGGGGTGGTGCTCATCTCCATTTCCAACCCTTAGAGCTAGTGTTTGTCCGAAGACAATCTTCTGTGGTCACGTAGCCAGCACAACTAGATACGGAATGCCGTTAACTTCCCACAGTGGTGGTACCTGTTACATAACAGCACTGATGCATTCTGCATGCTTTTGAACCACTAGATTGGCGGGAGCTGGGACAAGCGATGGGGGCTCACTCCAACACGTGGATTCGATCTTACGACTGCAGGTCTTCTGACCTTGCAGCACAGAGGCTTCTGCGGTTTAAGCTGCAGCACCACCATGTCCTTCTTTTCTACTGTAAATGCTTATAAATTGATTTTATACCAGCAAAGTGCTAGTTTGTGTGAGGAAATCAAAGAAAGGGGGATGGTGAAATTTCTGATCTCTCCATGTTTCTTACTCTGCTAACTAAATTGATTTTATACCAGCAAAGTACTAGTTTGAGTGAGGAAATCAAAGAAAAGGGGATGATGAAATTGGGCTGATCTCTCCACGTTTCTTACTCTGATAACTAAACAAGCATAACAAAAAATTCCCAAAATAAACTGTTCTCCTAACAAACTTTTTTTCAAGATCCCTAAACTAGAATACAAGGCTCCTGGTTAATAGCTCCACTTTTGCACTCTCCTTACTGAGCCACAAGTGCAATCTACTCAACTGCATCCTCTAGATTCCTGCAGTTTAGTTAAATGACATAGTCTCTGCAAATAATTAAGCAGAAAAATTCAAGGTAATTATGGTTGCACTGCTATAGAATACAGCCTTCCCTACTTATACATTTACGAAATCAAGCAAGGAACCCCACGATCCATGCTGGCAACCTATCAAAAAGATGCTGCAGACTTTTAGAGGAAATGTGAGATGGGGAACAAGAAGTAGAGAAGTTAGGGAAACATTTGTTTTCAAATTTTAAAAAAGTACTAATAGTTTCCAAAATGGGAGGGGGGGCTTTTGCCTGAACAATTGGTCTTCAACTTGAGGATCCCAGCTAGGTAGCCACATGGCCTTTTTGTTGTTGTCTAGGGTTCCCCCCCCCTTCAAAATCAAAAGGAAAAGTTGGAGAGAAAAAGGAGAGAGATGGAATCATACAGACATATATAGTTCAATATATAGACAGGTACCAAATCCAGCTGGATGAATGTTGTTGCACTAGACCAGCATTTCCTACCTGGAAACACATAGCCAGATCCATACTGCAAAGGACAACTCTCATTGTCCCCAGTCAGCCTATTCACATGCTTCCTGAGGATGATGAGGGTTATGTAGTTCAGCACATCTGAAAGGCACATGATTACAGAGGGTTTGTCTACACAACTTAATTACAAACTGCTTGCTAACTGCTTAATACATCAACCCTGGAAATTAATATAATGCCACACAAAACATAAAAGTCATGGTAAGCACATCATCTCAATGCAGCTGAGCATTCTTCTAGAACTGCAGTCAAATCATTACTCCCTGTTGTAATAGCCACTGCAGCAATATAAAATGCTTACCAAAGCAAATAGTGCCTGAGTTAAGAATGCAACTGTCCATGTAGAGGAAAGAAAGGGCATCTCTACTGGATATGAAAAAAGGACTGCAGCTACTTGACACTGTTTGCCCTGCCCAACAGAGATAAGCATTTGATTGCTTCTCTTCTCCTAACCAGAAGCAGGCATGCATACCCAAGCCACTTCTCTCAATAACAACTTCATCCACAAACTGCACACAGAGCAGATTTTCCCATGAGAGGCTTTTCCCTTTCGGCTCACACTCTTGGCTTGTAGCAATATTCCAGATGCCTTGGGAGTGTCCCCACCACCACAATGTTTGGTTGTGCTACTCTTGGCTCAGCCATTATATTTTGGCCCAGTGGGCTTTTGTATGAGCATATGGCAGCAGGGGGTAAATTAAGTCCTGTTAATGGCTACTCTCCAGGCAGTAGTGAGTCTTCCCATATCAAGGACAAAACTGTAGCAGTTATAAATGCGATGAGAAAACCATACATTGGTCTATGAGAGAAGCAATTTGATTCGAGGAACAGGGAAAGTGATTTAAAAAGAGGGAAACAGACTTTCAGCTGCACTGAGTTTTAACAACCCAACATTTGTTTCTTGCCCAAAGGTTTCCACAGCTAAGAGTATTAACAGATTCTTGAAGATCAGTAAAAAAGGAGAAAGCAAAACAGAATGCATAATTCTAGAAAACACAAATTCTCCTTGTTTATTCTCACATACATTATCATGCCATTCTAATAGTAGCATTCTAATTGCCACTGAATATGGCAGGTTTTATTATTTTGTAAGGTATCATTCATACAGTGTTTCATAGACATGTTGACATTTATTTTTACAACTTTCTTGCCAGAAAAATAATACTCTAAAAGACAGCAAGTAGCAATAATTAATTTATTTAGGGAGCTGGGGCAGTCCATTATCCAGTCTCAGGTATTTACAGCTGAGGAGCTTTGACACATTAGAAACATCTTTAAGACTTTCTCCCTATTGGTGTCCCTGAGCTCTATTCATTTGAGACAGCAAGAGATGTTTTAAAGAAATCAGATGTACTTTCTTGTGTGTACAGATTCTACAGATGCATGAGAAACACCAGGTTTTAGGGAGTTGTAAACTAGACTGAACTGTGAAATGCTCACTGGCCAGCCTGCACATTTCTAAGCACAGCTGTCCTCCCAGACTCTATTCAACATTCAAGAATTCCTTGCAGGCACCAAGAGGTCCTGAAGATGCTTTCCAAAGTCAGCTGTGACAACATCTGAACCAACTTGCTCTCCGATCATATGTTCAAGTTACTTGCTGCTACCTGGAATACTCCTAGCTATGGAAACCTTTGAGCAAGAAAGAAATATTGGCTTGTCAAAACTCAGTGCAGCTGAAAGTCTGTTTAGAACAAATCAGCCAGAGATGTGGGAAAGCATGCTGCAAGAAAAAGAGCAGCCGCAACCTGCCCTCTCAACAGGCTTTTACAAGGGATCCGTCGGAAAAGCCCTTAGGCCTATCCGTGACATCTCGCCAACTTTTTTCCTTAAGTGCCTGGCACTGACTAAAGCAGGGGGGAGGAAGAGCAAAGCCACGACCTGAACGATTAGCGCCCGCCGCTCGCCTGTCTGAGTGAATTTTCAGATTTGCTGCTGGTGCTGCGACATGAGGCCAAAAGGCAAAGCCAAGCGCCCAGGACTTCTCTCCTGCGCGCACAAAGCCTCCGCAGTAGGGTTATTATTACAGGAAAAATACAGAGAGCCACCCTCACCGCGGCTGCATCAGCAGCCCTGCATGCTAGCGAACAGGGAGGAAAAAAAGCCCGGACCGCCGGACGGACGACGCACTTTTTAACTCTCGAGCGAGAAGCAGAATCCGGCGCGTGGCCGCCTTCCAATTACAGCCCCTCCTCCGCCTCCGCCGCGACTCCTATTGGCCCACCCGTGTCCCAAAGGGGAAGGGGGGGTAAGACAAGCCCCCCTCCACGACTACCCGCGCCCACCTGACAGAGGGGGAGCGGCCCTTGCCCGCGCAGGACAGTCCCTCTCTGCCTCTGCCCCCCTCCCTTTAAGCTATTCCACCCCCCGGCCTCAGAAAGTTCCAGCGCCGAACTTCACGCGTAACCTTGCCAGGGCCGCAAAAGCTCCTTCCCGCTGCCTTTGGAAAGCAACAGCCCCACGGTTCCAAAAGCACCCCTGGAGCCACCGGGGGGCCTGTCTCTCCCTCTCCTCGCCTCCTCCTCCCCCTCCTCCCGCTCCCCTTGTCCGCTTTTCGGCAACAGCCACCTCCAAGTTTATCCCCGAAGTTCGGAGCCTCTCCAACTGCGGCGTCGCAGTGCAGAAGGGCAGACGCGTAGGACGAAAGGACGAGCCAGAGTGCCTACATTTCCCTCGCTTCTGGAGCTTTTCTCTCCCTCTATTTCTCTCTCTCTCTCTGGCGCTTTCGGGAACCAACAGCCTGCACGAACTATCCGCAACCCCAGCGGAAGAGAAAAGTCCCGCCGTATTCTGTTACCTTCTGCCCTACAGCTGCTGCAGCAGGACCGGCTCCTCGGGTCCCTTCAGAAGCCTGAGTCTGTGCGCGCGCCCGCTTCTCGCTCTCGGATTTTTTTTCCTTTTTCCTCCTTTTCTCTCTCTCTCTCTCTCCCCCCTCCCCCCCGGCCTCGCTTTTCGGTCCGCTTGCTTCCCAGTGCGCGTGCTCAGTACCGGCCGGGACCAGCCAGAGGAGCACCTTCCCTCCTTCAAGTACTGTAGTGCCTTGAGGAAACCACAGCACCTGCCTCCCCCGGTGACGTCACAACATTCCTTCGTACCTGGCTCGAGACAGAACCGGGAGGGGGAGCACGCGGAGGATTGGCGGGATTTTTCTTTCCTTTGGCTGCAACCCTAAGTCGTCAGCCTGCAATTCTCATTATTGCAGACAGAAGAGCACCAGGCCACAGGCTTCCTTCCAGTCTGTCGGGCTGTGCAGCAAGAGCCAGATATAGATATAAATGTTTTGTTCCAGGTCTTAGTACTGTACACCTTGTAGTGTGATCCAGCAGGGCTTGCCCAAGACACTTTCTTGCCTGAGGTGAAAAGGCAGCTCCCTTAGCCATGTTTCTTGTAAGAGGTTTCAAGGCTGGCAAAAAGATTAGGATGATTTTTTGCCTATTTTGGTGTATTTTTACATCTGTTTGTTTGGCAGACTGTATAAATGAATCTCTAATAACTTTCTTTGTTGTTATTAAAATGGTTCTTACAATGATACAGCTGAGTATTGAAAGTTCTGAAGTAGTAGCAGCTGGCCAAAGTAAAAAAAAAATTACACTATACTTATGGAAGCAGTCAGAGACAAACGGGCGGTATCATGTTGACCTTGGAGAAATCCATAGTGGATTACATCTGGAGTACTGTATTGTTTTGTTTTTGTTTTGATATGGGGAGTACTGTACTGTCTCTAAACCAAAAGAAGTGTTTTGTGGAGTTGGAAGAGGACAAGCAGAATGGACAAAGGACTGACTACTCTGCAAATGTTTGAGGCTGTTTAAGGCATAATCCTAACTACTGTAGCTAGGCTGGTTTTAGGCTACTTTGTATCCAAAGACCTCCAAACTTTGGAGAGGAGAGATTTCAGCTGGTTTAAGGGGGAAAATAGCACAGGGGAAGAAATTAAAAACCATAGGCCAGGCACAACTGCCATAGCAACTGATGACAGCCACCAGTCAGCAGCTGGCAATCAGCATAACCCTGAAACTCCACCCAGCATCACAGCTAACCAATGAGAGCCAGCCATCCAGTGGAGGAGGGAAACCCAGCTGCACATTTAAAAGGCAGAGCAGTTGAAGACACAGTGTGGCAGGTCACCCAAATGCAAGCCATATGCAGCTGGTGTGGAATCTATTGCCGCACCAGTTTGTGCCGTCATTGCCCAGAAGGCCAAGCCTCTCCTGGTGCAGTCAGAGTGCTCCCAAACCATATCAGTCTTTCATACTTACAAACACGCATCACAGTCAGAAACAACTACAGCAGACAGCCAGAGAAGAATTTTGTTTGGTTGTTCTGGGTTTTTTGGGCTCTTTGGCCGTGTTCTGAAGGTTTTTCTTCCTAACGTTTTGCCAGTCTCTGTGGCCGGCATCTTCAGAGGACAGCAACCTGTGCTCTGGTGTAGTTGGCTTGGGAGTGCCAAGAATTTTGTTTATTCATCACCAGAGAGAAATCTTCCAAAGTGGATGCAGAGGAGCAGAGAGAAATGTTCAGGAGCGGCTCTTTTGGATTGGGCAGGAGTGATATGCATGCATGAAAGGAACATCATACCAAAGGGGTACAGAAATAATTGAGAACTCTAGGTAGCCTGCAATTCCAATTCAGATCAACATTATCTATCTGTGGGCCAAAATAAAACAACATTATGTATACCATTTTAAATATAATAAACATGAAAATAATTGCAACTAAAAACAGCCATGGTTACTCCAAGGTTGGGAACTGGTGTAAAGAAAGGAATTTGGGCATTTGAACTTTTACTGAAGCTTGCCCCAGTGACAAGATGAGCTACTTATTCTGAATGTCAGCTTTTACACCTATTCTGAATTTCAGTTCTCACAGAACAACTATTATAAGTGTCATGGAATTATATTCTGTTAACATCTACTCATTTAAATAATCACCAGCTTCTTCCTGTTCTGAGAAAATGCTATATATCCGTATCTTAGATCTAAATTCCACAGGAGATGATTAGTCAAGAATACTGTTGATTCGGCTTTGTTTTAAATGAACTGAAAGCAGAGCTGAGCACGTCAGAGGGCATTGTGCTCTATGAACCAAGTATAAAAAAATGAGTGGAATGCAGAATACATCCTTGCCTTATTGCCACATGAAAGAAAATTATGTTTACATGGCTTGAGGGAAAGTGCATAAAATACATGCAGAAGCTACTACATTATGCACACCTGTTTGATGAGCAAACACCTAACTCAAAGATTCCATTAATGGAAATGGTATTTACAGCACATTACAGATCCCAGTACAAGATGATGCAGCAGACATAATGTAAAATGAAACTCACATCTGAAGACAAAGACCCACATTTAGATGAAGGTTCATCTGTTGCTTTAGAATGCAAAGTGAACAGTTACCGTACATAAGGAAAGAAATGACAACTCACACAGATCTAGTCATTTGAAAGTGGGTTTGCTGTAAACTTCAATAAAGGTTCAGTACAATAAAAATGTGCAGCTTTAAAAGGAGGGAGCTAACAGGAACACTCTACAGAAGAAATACAAATGCAGCACCTATATTAGACACTAATTATTAGTGGGCTAATAAAGGTGCCACCTTATCCTGCATTTGTATTGTGTAAGGACCATGTGGCTCGCTTTGTGTCCCTCTTGATCTCTAGACAGACATGTTTCAAACTTGGTGGGAACAGAGCTTCAGACAATGAACACAGACAGTGAATAGCATTGTACCACTGGAGGTAGTTCTTGAGCTATCCTGATTTGGATTTCTGAATTGAAACCATTATTTTGACAAAACATTGTTTGGCAATCATAGGTACAGGTAAAGAGAAGTAACCTTTAAGGGATTACTCAAATACTTGAGTATCCTCAGGATTTATTCAGGGGATGTCCATCCATCCTAGAAGTGCTCGTAATTATAGTCCAGGCACCATAATTTTATCTATAGAAGGCACGGCAAGGCAATGGAATACTATAAACAGCTGGTGTCAATACATTGGTTTTGTTTCTGCCACCAACAGTTCAGGAAGTATGAAAGTACAGAATTGATAAGACAATTGTGGTAGCTGACACTTCTCTGATAAAAGGTTATTCAGGCATCAAATTTTATATGGATCCTTATCAGACAAAATGGAAGAAACCATGCCCATAGACAGCTCATAAGTGCTTTTATGACAGCCATCAATTCACATAGTAACCTAAGCTCTATGGCCTTCTACACACATTTACACTTTAGTCCTAAATGTTTTTAGTTGAATCCATGTTTCATTTCAAGCAGCAAGACCTTCTTCCATGCAAATGTGCTTAGCATCATTAATTATATAGAGTATGTGGATGGATGGATAGGTCAGCAAGTCAGGTATCTTTGAGCAGTTCCCCATTACTCCTCCTGGGAGAAAAGCCAGCTTGTGTAACTTTGAACAAGCTGCTGAACCCTAAAAGAAGAGAATGGTAAACCACTTACGTAGGACTACTGTGTACCTAGAAAACCCTCGAAAGGATCACTAGAAGTCAGAATTGACTCAATGGCAGGTCATTATGATGCAATATGAAGAAGCACTGAATGTCTCATTAAACTGATATAATTCTCAGTCCTACTTCTCAGGGTTCCATGGGAACTGTAGTTCAGGAGAATGCATTAGAACTCACTGGCAGAGACTTCTCACCAAAATACCAATCCCATAATTCCTTAGAATAGAGTCTAATCGGTTAAAGTTATATCAAACTGTTATGACTGACTAGTACAGTCATATCATAAGTGTCTATAGTCTGCAGTGTATGTATCATATGATTTTCCCACAGAACAGAACATACAGAACAGTTGTCGTTTTCCTACAATAATGTTATGCTTTCTAGTGTCAAGCAAGCCTTTTAAAGATTGTTGAACATTTTCTTCAAGTGTTTTGCTGGAAGAATAACCTGCTCATGTTCGTTACCATGCTCTCTGTCCAGATTACTGCAACTGAGGGCTTGTCTGCACTGGCTCTTTTGAAGCAGGCTGGTTTGGACTAAATAGGATCACTTGGGATTGGATGGAGGTGCAATATGCCATGTGGATCACTTAAAATAAAACATTTTATTTTATTTTATTTGTAAAGGACTGGTCAAGAAATTACCTCAGCCAAATCCATGGATGTGGCTACAGGCAATTTCTCAATTGGCCCTTCAGACAAACCAAATATTTTTTTTAAAAGTGATGTAGCATCTCAGCAGTAATCCACTAGAGTCTTAAAAGACATTCCACTTCCACTGACCCATGCAGAGGAGCAGTGGAAGTGTTAAATTTGCCAATATCCTGAAATGGCTCATTTATTAAGCCACTTTGCAATATTGGAAATTCCCTTTGAAAGGAGCCTTGGCAGCCAGGAAGGCTTGCTTGTGGTCTGTTTCTGGTGATCACCCATGCTGGAAAAGGACCAAAACAAAACAATCCTTCCTTTATCAAAAAAAGTAGAAGCCCCTGACAGCGGTTCAGAATTTGCAGGTTAGGGCTGCTTTGGGGACAGTTTGGTTTGCTCCAGCGATTATGTAATGTGAAAAGAATTAATTCTTAAAAAGAATTAATCAGCCCGTCACTACAGCAGACCAAAGAGCAGGACAAATGCCTGTCTGACTGAGGTCTAATTAAACTGTGGGCTGTGTTAATTAACAAAATTTTACTCTCTATGCATCATTTTAGGTTGACCAATGAAGGAGAGCTCAGTGGTTTAGGTATTTGACTGCAGAAATAGGGCTGAACTCAAAGATCCATAGGGTTACTTTTAACTCTTCAGTTCTAAAATGACAGTGGTGATTTTAGAAAAAATTGCTCTTTTACAACAACAGCTGCTGTCCCTCTAAAGCAGGGATCTCAAACTATGGCCCACCTTGCCTTTTTATCTCCAGGGATCTCCAAATTATGGCCCACGGGCCACATCTGGCCCACCTTGCCTTTTTATCTGGCCCAGCAAATACAGCAGGTTCAGGTCTGCAGGCTCAGGTCCGTTCTCTTCAGCCCTCACAGAAAGGCAATTTGCTAAGGGAATGTGAAGGAGGAGGAGGAGGAGGAGGAGGAGGAGGA